TATTTACATAGAAGTTCGTTTGAGAATAATTTTTTTGTTTGATGTATTTTAAGAAATGTTTGCTTGCTAAAAGTTTATTTCAAATAATATAATTTACTGAGTCTTTTGGTTTTTGGTCTCGTTTATTTATGTTATGATCTTACACTTTTTTCACAAGTCTTTTTATCTCCTGGCATGTTATCAGTTATTGGCTGTTAGAAGGAGGGAGTTATCAGTTCGGTATCGGTTCTTAAAATGAGTTATTGTGCATCCTAAAATCCAAATTAAAAAATGTTATTTAGTGATAGAAAAAACTGTTTCACTCCTTCCACAATAGCTTGAACCCCACCAAGCCAGCTGTCATTTTTCTTCTTAATCACAACAGGTTGGCCTGATGAGTAGGAGGGGGCCCGTGAAGCAAATCATAATAATGTTTCATCTACCATAATCATTATGTTTATTTTCAACCAATAATAATGTACATAATTTCACATATAACATGACTGTCATTTAAATAATTAATAGGCTCCAACAGAGGTCATCTCTGTTACCTGGTACAATGTGTACACTGTTATTCAGCATATTTGTAAAAATTTGGATTACAAGACTTTTGAAGGAGCCACGCATCTTTTATGAATTTCAGAATTACTCCAGGAGAACATGGGTATGACCACTTTAACGTTAAAATAGATTTGACGAATTGTGCCATAGTTCTTTGAAACATTGTTCATGGTAACTATCTGTAGCAAACTTAATTTTATTTTATGATTTTGCTGCAGGCATTCATACAAGTTCTCTTATTATGTCACTTTAATGCACCTAAGCAAAGACTGTTGAAATGTCATCTTTTTTATATTGTAAAGCAAATTTATTTATATARGTAAAGCTCAAAATATTATAACAGGCAAATTGATTTAATGAACACTTTAAATGTGAGTTTTGTGATGATTGGTGTCTTGTTTTCCAGGTCACAGAACACTCTGAAATGATGAATCATGGCTTGCACATCACAGTCTGCGTTGGATTATGTCAGAAGTGCCAGAGTTCACCTTGTTGAACACTTAAGAAATCTTTCTGTGATTCTTCAGAACTTGTATCAGGAAAATGTTTTTACTGATGAAGAGGTCAGTAAAATACAGACAGAGAAAGACGACTATGACAAATCGAGAGCAATACTGGACAGAGTCKTTAAAAAAGGAGAAGCAGCCTGCTACACGTTACTCAGGATTATTGACACAACAAGGAAGAGAGCCTTTGAGAGACCACCTCCCTTCAATAACAGAAGTGGAGGTCCAGCTGAAAATAAAAAATTTGACCTGCACTATTGGATCAGCTGCTTTTCTTTCAATGAAGATGCAGAAATAGAGCTGAACTACTTACAAGGTATTTTGTCATTTAAAATGTATTTTGTTTGAAATGTTCATTCATTCATTCATTCATTCATTCATTCATTCATTCATTTATTCATTCAAATGAGTCACACTGTTCTTAGTTGCATGCATTAATTCATAATAAATGGTGGCATGAACGACCGTGACCCCTGATATGATCTTTAGACCACCACCGGTCATGTCTCGCAACTAACTGAGCTTTGTTCTGAAAAACTGTTTGTTTTAATCTTGTGTGATTCATTATAAATAATCATTAACATGATTTTTCTTTTTAAAGGTATTTCTGGTTCAAGTGTGTAATATCATACTGTGATCTGAAGATGATTTCTGAACTGTTGTTTAGTTTTAACATCCATTGTTAAATGTAACTGTTCTCTTTTTATTTCTTTCCATAGCAGGAGAAAACAGCTGTGCGTCTGTTTGACAGAGACGCCGCTTTGTGCAGTAAACAGATTTCTCCCAGAAAGAAATATTGTGTTTTCAGTGGCAGCGAGTTTTATCCACCCTGAAGGTTAATCRTGGACAATATCTAATGATCGGCTCTTTAAAATGAAACCAGAGAGCGTTGACAGAGAGGAGAAAGCAGAAATGTGGATGGAGGACAATACCATGGGCCTCATGCATAAAGGAGTGTGCAGCTTTAACACTGAAAGTTGATGTACAGACAAATTTAGAAAAGTGTGCCGCACAAAAAAAAATCAGGTATAAAACCGTGCGCACGCATGTTTCTGTGCACCTTTCCTTTATATACCTCAATGAACGTGGAACTGAGCGCACCTGAGACTCCTCCCCTGACACGCCTCCATTTAAATCTGTAAAATGTAAATGTATCCAGCATGTGAGATTCTCCTCAGATTGTCCTCTCTATGAGATCAGAAATGATTTTTAGATGCAGGAAAATTATACATTAAAGGAGAATGATTGAGAAACTGTCTAAATAAGTAGTGAGGTGTAAAAATGTGTTTGCCATGTGGGTGTGGGTGTGGGTGTGTACGCGCGTGTGTGAAGCTGCTGTCTTTAGCGGCGCATGAGGCTGAGAGACATTTCCACCTAACACGTCTAATAAATGACTGTAAACACAGAGGAACTGATGAGTTTGGTAGAACTTAGAAAAATATTTATTAAATAGTTGATSTGAAGAAAWGAGTCGCAGCGTTTCTGCCGCAGTGTGATTTATATTTTAGAATCATGAAGTCTCTCATTCAGCTGCATGGCTCMYCTCAGAACTACAGGAAAATACCTGATTGTAATTTGTTCAGTGTGATACAAAAKAACCAAACAAATAAAAAACACGCTGTCCTCAATTCTTGTGGTGATATCACCCTGCAATACTGCTGACGTTGTTCCGTAAATTACACACAGCTTTACGCAGCAACAAATCTATTGTCTGCATCTTGTGGAGCTGAGGAATCATCACAGTTGAGCTGTTSTGAYTTAATCTGCTGAGTTGACAAGGTTTTTTTCTCAGTGAGAATTTAAATGTTACTTAGACAATTAACATTTTATTTTCCTCAGCTGTGTGTACTCTGCAGGCCATATGCTCTTGCGTGTGTTTCCATATGTGACAACAATATAAAAACTTTACAGTTTACAGACTGGACTGAGGTTCTTTGATCATTTTTAGGCTGATTTATTTTCTTGTCTGAAGTTAAATGATTTTCAGTCCRGGGGTTCAGTTTCATGATCGTTCTAGTTTAAACAATAAAAACTAACACCGTGTTCAGACGCTCCTTACATCCAGAAAACAGAACAGAGTCCTATTTCTGTGGATTCAGGTCAGATTTGTGACTTTGTGGGTTAAAACTGTCAACTGAAAAACTRTGRGTGGCTGCCGCACATTCTCACGGCAGGTGAAAAATGTGTGTATATTTACGCACACTTTCACGCAACGTTGGTTTTGATACATCCCAACGTGGGCGTAGAACCTGGTGCATGCAACTTTTTTATGCGTATACACTTTTTAAACATGCGGCCCCAGGTCTTGTCACTGAAGACACAATGGGCCTCATGCAAGAACATGTTCGTATTCTTCTCCTAAATTTCTCTTACTTTTGTTCGTACAAAGGGT